TTGTGGGAGCAAATTTCCTCCCACGGGAATATTCGCCTAAAGATTCCTTCGTCTTTTCCGCACCTCTCTCTCCCTGCAAAATAGATCGGAGTAAAAGGACCACACCCGGGGGGTGTTGGCCAAAGGCCCTCCGATGCCTAAGTTAAGATGGGTGTTCAAGGAAAACCGGGTGGCCGGAGCCGTATGTGGAGGCCGGAGCCTTGTGTGAGGGAGAGAGAAAGAAGATGGTGGCTAGGGTTTGTGGAGAATTATTTCTGCAGAGTTTCAGTAGGAATTTAGACGTACCTTAACCCTTGTGTGTAGCTAGGTATTTATAGGAGCATCGGAGGCTATGGTTTCAGAGGAATAATTCCGTAGATGGAAAGGAATTATTCCTCCCCGATTAGGCGAGATTTGATTAATTAGGGATTTGATTTATCTGATTTAAATCAAATCCCTAATTAGGGTAGGAATCAAATCAATCCCCATTTTAATTAGGTAATTGCTAATTTAATTGGGTAACTCCCAATTAAATTGAGTAACTCCCAATTAGGTCAAATAATCCCCAAATGGAAGGAATTATTTGACCTAGGGTGATTTAATTCGGTTCCCACATTTATCTAATAGCTTAGTTACAGCTACAAATTTATAGCAAAAGATAGACAAAATCTTAAACATATAGACTTAGAGCTTAACAATCCAATGTACTGAGATTCTAAGGCATTTTGAAAAATACCATCCATTGCACGAAAAATTCCTTCAAAGTCAGACCTTTGATACGGTAGTAAGAGGTTCAATGCTGCCTTCCTCTGTTCAGTTGTAGCCGCCATGATCATTCTTCTTACCGCCTTAATTCTGTCATCTGAAGCAAAGAACTGAAACACACACAAAAACGTGAAAAAACCAAAAGAGCTCCAAAACCAGATATCATTGTTAACATCACATAGCATTGCAAGCAAGCAAGCAAAACTACAACATTGATAAGACTTGCAACAAGCCATAGAACATCACACATTCAGCAAAACATTTGTAGCAACTAAAACTTATTTTGATAGGAGCAATGGTTACAATGTGCTCTGTCCTGCATAGTCCAATCCCTTGGGCACCGTTATTTCTTGCTGTGAGTGCATCTTCAGGCGTGTCAGAGTTTGCCATAACCTGTTACAGAATTACAACAAATATTTTGAGATGAACCCAATTGGTACTAGTCCAAATGAAAAATATATAGCAAGAAAATATGGCACCTTGAGGCGCCTGACTTTATCAGCCCAAGACATAAAGGTTTCCAAATCACCACTTAAAGCCGGAGGAAAAAGTGGCTGTTTTCCCAATATGACTTCACCGGTGGATCCATTGAGTGAAAGCCATTCTCCTTCGTTAATGACCGTGTTCCCGATCACAGCCACCTGTATCATCAATGAACGACCCCCATTTATGCCATTTTCTCTTTAAAATTTACTGCAACAGATGTTTTTTACAAAAGGAAAACTATTAAAACCACCTTCTCAGTGTCATTGACTCTGATGATGTCAGAGCAGCCAGAAACACAACATTTACCCCATCCCCGGGCCACAACAGCTGCATGAGATGTCATGCCACCTCTAGCTGTCAAGATCCCAGCAGCTGCATGCATACCTCCAACATCTTCTGGACTGGTTTCTGTCCTTACCTATAGTTATAACAGTTCTCAATCATGAAACCCAAAAATGACTCCAATATTTGAATAACATATCAAGATCAATTCCACATCCCTTGATGTATTATTCTATCTGTTCATTTAAGCCATCACTATGGATTTATCAAGAAGAGTTAGTATAAACTTTTTGTGTAGCTTGAACCAAATTATCATCTAGGGAAGAAAAAAAGTTAAAAGAGAGAAAGATGAACTTAAATATTAGTTTACCAAGATGACACTCTTTCCTTGTGAATGCCATGTTTCAGCATCATCAGTGTTAGTATTTTAGGTTGTTTGTATATTTTAGCCTTATGAAGATGGAGATTTTGCAGAGAGGAAGAGAGAAAAATGAGAAGGGACTGTTGTATTGCATTTTCACAAACAGTTAGCTTACATAGTGTGCTCGGTAGAGAGAGAGAGAGAAGGAAGATTCTTCTCTAACCGAATTACAGTTGTTACCCTATGAGGTGCTTACACTTGTCATTCCAAATCTAAGCTAGAGAATCCACCTGGACTATGATCCAATGGTTCTAATTACATCACAAATAAAATAAACATAAAATAATAGAAATAGAGCTTGGTAGCTTCGGCTATAAGAAAGCAGCTGTAGGATTACATTCCAACTCTCCCTTCTAATCCTTTAGCTGATTTCACACCAAGGAGGCTTCTTAAACTAACAAAACGATCCTTAGGTAGAGCCTTGGTCAAAATATCTGCTAGATCAGCTCAATTTCTTTTGCTTGAATAGCTTCCTTTATGAAATGGAATTTCCGACTGATATGTCTTGTTTTCTGATGATGAACTAGATTCCTTGCCATTGCAATAGCAAAGGTGTTGTCACATAGGATTGGTGTACCTTCTACTTGTTCTTCACCAAAATCCTCAAGCACAAATCTTAGCCACTTAGCCTGTGAAGTAGCTTCTACAGCACTCACATACTCAGCTTCTGCTGTGGACAAAGCCACTGTGTTTTGCTTGATGGAAGCCCAAGAAAACATGCCTGAGCCTAGTGTGAAAGCGTATCCTGAGGTGCTTCTCATATCATCCTCACTTCCTGCCCAATCACTGTCACAATACCCTATTAGAGTAGTTGTTTTCCCTTTCACAAACTCAATGCCAAAATCAACAGTGCCTTGTATGTATCTCAGCACTCTTTTGGCAATTCCCATGTGTTTCCTTGTGGGATTGTGCATGAATCTAGCAAGCAGGCTAGATGCAAACATTACATCTGGTCTTGTGGCAGTCAAATAGAGCAAGCTCCCTACTATCTGTAGATATTCACTCTCATTTGCTGCTTCACTTCCATCTTCTTTGCACAGTTTCTCATTCACCACAAGTGGAATTGCTACTGACTTGCAGTCCTTCATTCCAAACTTCTCAAGAAGTTTCAGTGCATTTTCTTTTGATGGATAAAAATGTGCCTCTCTGTTTGTATCACTCCCATGCCAAGAAAGTGATGCAACAACCCTAAGTCTGTCATCTCATAGTGTTGCATCATATCCTGCTTAAATTCCTTAAGCATTTTGGGACAACTACCAGTATAAATAATATCATCTACATAAAGTGAGACAATAATAATACCTGAAGTGTCATTTGTTTTGAAATATAGAGTAGCTTCACTAGAACTCTTTTTGAATCCTGCATTGTTGAAGTAAGCGTCTATCTCATCATACCAAGCCCTTGGGGCTTGTTTCAGTCCATATAGGGCCTTGTTCAACTTGTACACTTTGGTTTCTGTATTCTCTTGAACATAGCCTTGTGGCTGTTCAACATAGGCTTCCTCCTTTAGAATGCCATTTAGAAAGGCAGACTTCACATCTAGTTGATACAAGTTCCATTCCTTTTGTGCAGCAAGAGCAATCAAGGTTCGAATGGTGTCTAGCCTTGCCACTAGTGCAAATGTTTCGTTGTAATCGATTCTAGGCTTTTGTGAATAGCCTTTAGCCACCAGTCGAGCTTTATTTTTCTGCACAGTGCCATCTAAATTAAGTTTAGTCTTGTAGACCCACTTGACACCAATTACAGGTTTGTCAAATGGCCTGTCAACTAATTCCCATGTATTGTTCTTCTCGATCATCTCTAATTCAGCCTTCATAGCGCTTCTCCATGATTCATCCAAGTCAGCTACTTCAAAGCTTTCAGGTTCCACAATGCACATGTTACATTGTGCCATGATTTCATTAATGCTCCTCCACTTGTGAGGTGTGTGATCAAACACTTGAGACCTGTCAAGTATTTCCTCATCTTGAGGTACACTATTTTCTTCGACTTGCATTTGAGTATCCAAGAACTGAGTTGGTTCATCAGATACCATATGTTCAGGTTCTGCATTACTTTGGTTTTCAGTCTGCACAGGCATTCTCAACTCTGCATTACTGGTATTCTCCCATTTCCATGAGACATCTTCATCAAAATAAACATCTCTAGACAAGATAATCTTTCTAGTTCTAGGATCATATAATCTGTAACCTTTTTCACAAAGTCCATAGCCCACAAAAATGCATTTGTGACTATTTTCTTCCAACTTGTGTCTTAATGCTGAAGGAATAAACACATGACATAAAGATCCAAACACTTTCAAGTGTGCAATACCTGGTTTTCTTCCAGTGTAAGCCTCAAATGGTGTCACCTTCTTAAGAGACTTAGAAGGACACCTGTTGAGTAGATATACTGCAGTATTAATAGCTTCTGCCCAAAACTCATAAGGAAGACCCTTTTCATGTAGCATAGACTTTGCCATCTCTATCACAGTCCTATTCTTTCTCTCAGCTACTCCATTTTGCTGAGGAGAATATGCTACTGTTAGCTGCCTTTGTATTCCAACATTACTGCAATATTCATGGAGCTCATTTGACATGAATTCTCCACCTCTGTCACTTCTTAAGCATTTCACCTTATATCCACTTTGCAATTCTGTCATAGCCTTGAATTTCTTGAAGCATTCAAAAGCATTTGATTTATTTCTAAGAAAGTAGACCCAAGCCATTCTTGTACAGTCGTCTATGAATAACAGAAAATACCTGTTTTCTGACATAGATGCAATCTACATTGGTCCACAGATGTCTGTGTGTACCAACTCTAGTGGAAACTGAGCTCTCCAAGTGGATTCTGCAGGGAATGAGTCTCTATGTTGCTTTCCTAGCTTGCAGCCTTCACAAACCTCAAGGTCCTTTTCCAAGCTAGGCAAGCCATGAACCATGTCTTGAGTTTCAAGTAGCCTAATGCTTTGATCATTAAGATGCCCCAGCCTCTTGTGCCAAATTTGCAAGCTGTGTGTCACACTTGCTCTCAACACCAACTGAGTAGCTGGCACCATTGTGAGAGGAAAGCACCTATTGCTAGTCATTTGAACTTTAGCAATAGGATTTTGCAGTGACCAATCATCGAAAATTGTCACCATTCCTTTTCCAAACACCAGGCAATATCCATGCTCCATCATCTACCCAACGCTAAGCAAATTTTCTTCTAACCCGGACACCAACATCACTTCTTGAATGTGCTTTCTGCCCACTTTGGTTTCTATCACAAGTGTGCCTTTCCCTGCAACTTGGCTTTGTCCAAAGTCCATCAACAACAAGATCTTAAAAGGGCAGTGAGTTAGTCATTTTCATTCACAACAGGACTGTCTCTCCAGTCCCCATTTTCACCTTGGAATTTACATTTCTTCGAATATCCACCAATAGCCTTTCATCTCCAGTCATGTGGTTACTACAACCACTGTTCACATACCATGAATTGTTCATTTTTACACCTGTCACAGCATTGCATGCAAAAAACAGAGTTCCAGTTTCCTCAATCTGATTGGCATAATCCACCTTCTGTACAGATTGATTTCCATGGCAATCTCTGAGTATGTGTCCAAACTTTCCACATCCTTTGCATTTTGGTTTTCCTTCAAACCAGCACTTGCCATAGTGCAGTTTCTCACAATGTTTGCAGGGTGTTTTGGTTCCTTCATTTGATGCATTTGGTTTGGGAGTAGAATTAGACTTGTTATTCCAATTCTTCCCATTTGACTTCCAGTTCTTCTGAGATTTGTTATTTCCAAAAGAGCTTCCATTCTTAGAGATTTTACTCTCTATGTTCAGACTAATGAAAGCCTTCTCTGTGGAGTTTTCAGTATGCCTATCAAGTCTGAGCTCAAAGTTCTTCAGAGATGCAACCACTTCTTGAACTTCAAGAGTGTCAAGATCTTTAGAATGCTCAATCACAGAGCATATAGAATCATACGATCTAGGCAAACTTATCAGCAATTTCTGCACAACTCTTTCTCTAGGCAACTCTTCACCATAACTTTTCATTTGATTAATTAAATCAAACAATTTAGCGACATAAACAGACAATGGTTCACTATCCTTCATACGTGTATATTCAAACTCTCTACGTAGACCA